ATGCCACTGACCACAACCCTCTGAGCCTGCCAGTTTTCAGTCCACCTCACTGTCTGCTTATCTAATCTATACTTCAGCTGTTTGTCAGTTCAAAATGCAATGAAAGCTCAGTTGTTTCCATGTCTTTGTCGCTAGGTCCCCATTCCCATTCAGCAGCAGACTTTCATTTTCCCTAGTCTTTCTTTTGCTGCAGATATGCTTGTGGAAACTCTTGTTGTTGCCTGTCACATCCCTCACCAGATTAAAGTCCAGATGGGTTTTTGTTTTCCCAGCCCCATCCCTGCATGTTCACACTGTTTCTACATTTCTCCTGTCCCTGCTTTCATTTCTTGTATGCTTCCTTTTTATGTTTGAGTTCAGTCAGCAGCTCCTTATTCATCCCTGATGGCTGCCTGCCACCTGTGCTTGACTTCGTGCTTTTAGGGATGGACTAATCTTGTGCTTGGAGGAGGTGATCCTTGAAAATCAACCAGCTCTTAGACCCCTCTTTGCTCCAGGATGGTATCCCATGGGGATACCAAACAGATCCCCAAACAGGCCAAAGTCTGCTTTCTTGAAGTCCAGGGCTGTGATCCTACTGTTTGCCTTGTTCCATCCTCTCAGGGACCTGAACTCCACCATTTTGTGGTTCTGCAGCCATGGCTGCCCCCAGCCTTCACATCCTTGATCAGTCCTTCTTTGTTTATGAATATCAGGTCCAGCAAAGCAGTATCAGGTCCAGCAGAGGTGGACACAACTGAAAAACATGCCAGCGTAGGAGTTTTAAAGCTTACCTGTGAAATGAGTGAATCTTTCTTGAGCCATTGGTAGCTTTTATTTATTACATTCATTTTTTTCTGTCTTGAATGAAAGTTCACATCACCATTCCCCAAAAGTCTTGGTCCAGGAGGTTTGTACTGTGACCTGCTCTGCTTTTGTAGGTGCCATTCCGTGATCACTCCTTCCCTGATCCACTAATGATCCTACGATGCTGTGCAGTGATAGAGTCACAATATAGTTACTTCTCACCACAATTTTTCACATCATTTGGAGTCAATGGGGCTTTGAATGTGGTACATGCAAGCACCATTCTTTCTGAAAAGCCATTTTAAAGATACTCCAAAATTAAGGACATAATGAAAATAGTATTTTTGTTCCCTCACATTGCAGGGAGGTTAGGTTGGTTCTGTTGACTTCTATGTTTGCTTGTCATGTTGATCTCATTCTGGCCTTTTACCTGTATGAGTATTGACATGTATCTTCTTGAAATTGGGCTTTGGGAAGAGACATCAGTGCAGAAATGCCTCAAGTCTTGTGTCTGATGTTGCTTTTACCAGGTTTAGTTCCACTTTCTTTCCTAGAGCTGCATTCTTTCCTGAGGACAGGTCAGTATTTGGCTCTTAGCTTTTTCAGAAAATGCTGGTGGTGATATAATCAGTTCCTTACTGTCAGTGTGTCAATTCTCAGTTGGCTAGCACAGCAATAGATTAAAAACTTAAGTGGGTGGAAAAACAGCTTTAATTAATTAAGATGGCTCATAATTATTTCTAATGTTACTCTTCTCTGAGGACATAGATAGTCACCCATGAATATGCTGCATTAGTTTGAAAAAGCTTAATTTCTTCAAAAGGGAAAGATAATTGTATATAAAAAGTTAACCAGTAATAGCCTATTTAGATATTTCTGTATATTTCTTTTATTACAAGCCAGTGTTAGTATGGCACATAAATGATGGGTTACACTGAATAACATAATCCTGCCTTTTTCTGCATCTGCCTGAAATCATGGACCTCAGTTGAGTGGCCTTGGTGTAGCTGGGGACAATATTTGCCCCAGGATATGTTCAGGTAAGTAAATTTTTTATTGATAAGAAGCTGTGCAGACCACAGTACAACACTAAACGTTTGTGTTGTTCAGTATCATTCTTTTCCCCCAGAGCATTCTTATGACTATCCAAGCTTTTGATCACAGTCTTTTTACATGATCGAATTCACTTTCTGTCTCTAGAGGCTACAGAGACTAAAAACCTGATATCTCTTAGAAAATTAAACTTCAGCATTCATCTTTAGTATCTCTTTCTAGATCTGTGGCATTCCCTCTGGTCAGTACTTGCCAGGAATGTTTTTCGTGGGTATTTATAGCACTATGTCTTTTGTAAACTAAATATTTTTTGATAGACTTTGGCTTTTGGGCTCATTTTTATTCCATATCTCTACTTGGGTCATACGAGACCTCTGACACGCAGTAATCCACTGGAATGAGAGAAGAGGGTTCAGTTTACTATAGATTTACACAAGTTTGGGGGATTTATGCAAGTTTTGGGATATAATTCAAACAACTTTTTTTCAGTATCATTATAGTTTGAGTCTTCCAGATCTTTTGTAATGTATTCTGGTAATTCTTGGCTTCATAATGTATTGATCATATAAATTACCTGACTAAGCAAGCCATCTGGGTGAAAATGAAGATTAAGTGCACGAAATATTGAAAGTGCATCCGTGGGAATGTTTAAGCTATGTATATAGATCATAAGCCTCAAAACAGGGGGAGAAAGAACTGACTGACGGCTCATCTATCTATGTGTATTCCCTTGCCTCAAGATCTCTCATCCAGAACATTGAGTTGCTCAGATAATGGTTTAAGTCAACGAAGGCTGACCAGTAAGAGTCCAAAGTTTGTTTTGTAAGTCCTATTGTCCTTTTGCTGATTTGCTTTCTTTGTATATGTGATGCCTGATGTGACTTTCCAAATGTGGGCAATTTCACCTCACTAATTACTTGGAAATGTCCTTATCTTGAAGAAATAGATAGGAATGTTAGATGTTGCTTGTGCATCATACCTGAGGACCTCCCCCTGTACATCCATCTTGCTGACCAGGACTATATCCCTCTCTCACCCAAAAGTAAGCATATGCTTTCTGGCTTTCTTGTGAGAAAAATTCAGCAAATGTGTAAGAGTCTATTACACAAGTGCAATTTCAGCTTCTTTCAGAGTCCTGAGCTTTGGTCAAAGTAATGACTTTCCAAATTTCCTAGTGTTTGTCATCACATTTCTATGTACTTTTAAGCCCTGGGAAGTCTCTCTAGCTGATAGCCTCATCCCCTTCATTTTGCTTTTTTTTTTTTTATTTATTTTTTACCCCTTGACTTCAATTTGAGCAGGTCAAGGCCAAAAAGATTGTTTTACATGGTAATTTGGTAAATAATGCTACTTAATGACCTGAATAACTTACAGGATGAATGAGGTGAGCCTGGTTTTTGTTTTCTTCCTTCAGCTGATTCATGCTGATTTTCATCCCTCATTCTCCTTCTCTATTTCATTATCCTCCCTTCTTCATTTCTGAACTTGTGATAGTTCCAATAAATATATAAAAAAAAAAATCCTCATTGCAAATGCTGCTGAGATTGGAGCTCTCCTAGAAATACTGACGGTAACCTGCAAGCAGCTGCAATATTCGGCATGCTGTGCTATGCTCTGTGTTATGATAGCTACCCTGCTATCAATACTGAGATAGCTAATTTAAAGATAGCTCAAATGCGTTCCCCTGAGCTCTAGTGACTGGAGTGTTGACTGTGAATAAGTACTCTGATTACACAGTGAATAAGTATTCTATATAATATATAGGGTATACCCAACAAGATAATGGAAAATGGAGAAGGAAGACTGCTTTTCTTCGTTTACAGGTATTCGCTTGGACCGCAGGAAATGAAAAAGGTGAGGAAAATTACAGGAGGGAGGGGCAGGACATCGCCACGATAAGAATCACTGTGTTTGTTTCTTCTTGTGATAGGGCAGCATTAAAATTCTAAGCATCACAGCAGCAGGCGCAGCATCGGTGCCTTCCAGGAGCAAGCAAATACAGTTCAACAGCGCCTACATTTGTCAGCAGATCGTGCCGTTGCGAAGGAAGGGGGAGTCCACATGAAAGCTGTTAGCGTTTCTGCACTGACTTAGGGTTCCAGAATAGCGTATTGTCTCGCAATTAGTTCCTTTAGAGTCATTCCAGTGAACTTTCCTCCACTTCTGCCGTCCCACATCTGTTTTGTTAGACAGCTGTAACTGGTTTAGAGTCATCATAATGAAAAAGAAACCTTTTTTCTTTCAAAGCAATCTGTAGTTTGGCAGGGAATAAAATGGCCACTTCAGCACTGGTGACAGAAAAATCTGCCTTTAATTGACAGAAATAGCTTTCTCCAGACCCTTGTTTAGGCACAGCATCTGAGAATATGTATGCCCTGAAATACCCTGGGGGTTAGCATGTAGCATAGAAATACAGTTTAATCTTTTATACTTTGTAGTTGTCTTTGTCGTGTTTCTCTGTGAATTCTCCTCCCTCTTCTGCTGTAACGTTTCATTCAAGTTCATGCATTGCTATGCTGCAATGCTGTATTGCAATGTCTCTTTCTCTCCTTTATCTTTTGCAATAAAGCACTTAATTTTTCTTTTGAGTTTCTCTGCTGGTATTTTTTCCAGAACTCTTGTCTCCTATTACGAACATAAACTCTGTGGAGTAGGGTGCTTTTAGAAACTGAGAAATTCCAGAGGCTGAGATCTGACCTGCCACAACTTCAGGTCTACTGAAATAACTTTGGGGCACAAAATGTTATTTGATGAACTAAACACGGTCAGCACAGCCTTTGAATATACTCTTTTTCTACTCTCAAACCAATGTAGAAAACACAGGCGAAACACATTTCACCTTTTTTTGTCATGAATCGTGAAATATTTTTCAAATCTCTAGCGCCTTCTAAAGCTGCAGACTCAGCCTTTAGTAAGAGGAGAGTGTGGAGTAGCCTCTGGGCAGTGGGGATGGCAGATTTGCGGCAATCTTCCTCTACAGCCATTCTGCCTCCCTCTCTTTTTTCCACGAGTTCACATTAAACCATTCAGCAGGGAATTTACAAGCCATAAAACTGCATTATTCAGTTATGAAGTAACAACCTCATCACCATGACTTCAGCAAGTGCTCATAAAAGCCAGAGTCAGATTTATAAGCAGAGGAATTGCCAGCTATATCGAACATGTGCTTCATAGTGACAGACTTGCCCGTTTCCGTCACCCGGTAAGGTAAAGTTCTGGTTAGGTATACTGTGGATAGTCTCTCTTTGTAAATGATTGAATGGGTCAAAACCAAAGTTAAGCCTGTCACATGGAGCACGTCGCTTGGGGAGAAAGCATTGTCCCCTTGGATGTGGTTTTCTGCATTGCAAATGGACTTTCAGGTTCTTCATTGTTTTTCCTGAAGGCAGTCGTGATGCAGAAAGCTGCTCTTCTTCCATGTCATGGTTTGGTCACTGTCCTATGGATAGTTTAGCAATTTTCTCCTCTTCTGGTACCCCTTCAAGATGACATCCAAGCGGTATGCACACCTTGTGGGTGAAGTAGAGGACTAGGGACCCTTTGGAAGGGTGAGAGGCACGTTGCTTTGCTTTTCAGGTAACTGTTATCTCTATTTTCTGAAAGACAGAGACCACATTTTCCTTTTTCTGTTTCTTCAGGAGCTCACCAGATCTACGCAATCTTTCAAAACTAATTACCAGTGGCTCAGAAAGTTCATTTATTCCCCTCTTACTTGAGGCTGCATTTCATAGCATGTATTAGTGGCCTGCAAAATATTAATGAAGACATCAAGCCATTTTTTTCCTCGCAGGAGTATGAAAAAGGGTGAAAGACACTGAGATCCCATATATCACCCACACATATATATAGCTGGAGAGTAATCACACTGATTATTTTGAATATTTTAAGAACTGCTCTGAGGCAAAAAAATTGTTAGTGTAGTCTGGAGTCTGATATTATGAATGAGCTGTAACAGAGATGTTGAGAGGTCTTTCACATTACTTCAGAATAGCTGTTGCCCGTTAACAGTGCCAGGACCTTCTAATATTGCAGAAGGTTTTAAAAGGCATTTAAAGATCATTAAAAGATTTGGCATTCAGAGATCATTTAGAAGGCTTGAAAGTCACCTGCATGGCCCTGGAGATCTTGCTAGGTCCATGGCTGCCTGCATGGACACTTCTTCTGGTTTAGAGATTAGTCCTGTACTATTTCAGTAGTCATGAAATTACGATGTCTGTAATTTAAAACTTTGAGACTTCATGGTAATATTGGCATAATTCCTATCGTTTCATCTGGTTACATGAAATCCCACAGCGCACGGAGTCGTGGGACATTGTCTCATGCTTTGTTGAAGTGGTGATCTGGTGACACGAGTCAGTGACAATTTAAACAGAAACTGTATCTGCTTCTGTTCACTGTGATTGCCCATCTGTTTCCTCTCTATTATTTGCAATTATTTGCCTGAAAATTAAGGAAATATAAACATGTGTGTTCTGGTTTTGTAATAATGTTGTTCGAAGTCTGATTCCACGCCATTACGAAAATCATATAATCCTGAGCACATACAACACAAGATTACAAACAAGAATATTTCCAAGAAAAACACTCAATACATAATGAACTTAGCAAAGTTAATAGTTCTTGACATTAATGTTTGCTGCCTGAAGGTCAGAGGGACGTGAGTCTGGTTTGAGTGAGGAACGTTTTGCGTATCGTCAGACGCCTGGTGCGGGCACGTCGGTGCTGCCAGCGTGTTGGTGTACTGCAAATAATTCAGTTCTGAGGCTGCACAGAGCATTGCAGTGCGGGAGTGATGCTGAATTATGTTTCAAAATGAAACAAGATGTGGAGCATAAAAGGGGGAGTGGAAGCAACTCTTCAGCAGGCGGCTTCAGAGGCCGGAGCTGGGACACACGGACAGGGCAGTGCCCTGTGCTTCCCAGGAGCGATGGGAGCTTTGCCCATGGTCCCTCGGAAGTGGTCTTTCGTTCCCCTCTTGATGGATGCTGGGGAAAAATGGCACAACAGTCTCTTCTTCTAACTGCTTCTAACCTTCCCTCCAAGGAATGCCTTTTGAATAGGGATCTCACAAAGATGCTTCAACATATAAAAATTACGGCATTAAAAAAAAAAAAAAAGAGCAACTGTGTGAAAATGTATTAAGGCAGTGACATGCATAAAAACCATCATGTTAAGTCAAAAACATTTCTTGGCAATGCGACATGAAAATGTGGTGATATTTGAAGGAGCTAAAACATTACTTTGATGCTTATGAGTATCCCCTAAGTGCTATGATAGCCCTGGAAACAGGGGAAGATGTTGCTGAACATCTGAAGAGAAATGGTGAGTATTACACCTTTCATTGCACATTGTAACGTAACGATTTTTATTTAAGAAAGGACGACAGTGTCTTTTGCAACCCTATTAGGTAGTAATACCGTTCAGTGGTTCTGAATTACTCTCGTAGTCTGCGTGGGCTGTGTGATTATTAATCATTGATTAGGATTAATTGGGATTATACAATTCCGTAGACACCATAGCAGTCTAGTGAAGGGCAGAATAAATACGTGAGGAGTTCGGTGGTGCAGAGCGGGTCTGTGGCAGGTACATGGTGTGCATTTGCAAGGGTGGAACCTAAAACTTTGTTGCCTTTTGTACAAATTGATGAACGCAGTGTGGGCATGGGCCCTGCTAGGCTTGAATACAATGAAGGGTAATGATGCATGCTATTAAAAACTGAAATTAATTAAACACGGACAGACTTCCGTGTCTGCTGCTGCAGACTGCTGTGGGCTTGGCACACCCAAGCCCATCTCCCGTGGGATGCGTGCGATCTTCCTGAGCCACTGGCGTTGGTGGGACTGCAGGGGAGGCTGCAGGCACTGCCAGCAGACCTCTTCAACTCTCTTTCCAAGAAAATTGGCAGGATCCTGGAAATTGGGAGCTTAAATCTCTCCTTCCCCCATCCAAAAAGTCCAGGTGGATGTTGAACACATACCTAAATTCAAGCGTTTGGCTCTGCCATTAATTTTTTAAAATGTTTACTGCATTTGTTTATTTTTGTTAGCCTCTCAAAACATTTATTTAAAAGATGGTATAAGTTTTCTATTGATTTTATTGTGGCATGCATTTCAAGTAAGACAATTCCTACTTATTTCTTTCTGTAAAAATTGCTCAGAAGTCAGTTTTATGCTGGCACATCAGAAAATGAGACTAGTTGTACTTCAGAACAACACTTCAAAGATTTTATTGATTTTTGTTTTTTTCAGAGGAATGTTTCATCAAGGGCTTTCAGTTAAGTTCTTTCTTCAACACTTCTTATGATATATAGTGCTCTAAAAAGGCAAGATGTTGTCTTCTTAAATGATTGACCTTCTAGGCCAAAGGCAAGAGTGACTGAAGATTTTCAAAAACAGAGTAAGTTGAGACTGAAGTATATTAGTTAGTAATGCAGATTTTGCTGCTTATAGCATTTAGAAGGATATCCTTGCAGGGAGTGAAATACAAAGGCAGTTTTCAGTTAGAGAGGTCTTCTCTGAGAGTATCTGTGTTCACCTTCTCTTTTTTGTGTGCACATTTTAATCAATTTTATTCAGAGAAATCTGAATGTCATAATGTGATAAGCATTTCACGTTGGTCTTATTTTTTAAAAACAAAGCTCAGGTAATATATTCTGTGAGATAATTTTTTCATGCATAATTAATAGAATGTGTATATTTTATGCAAGATTACACTCAAGAGTATGTGGAAATGCTCTCAAACTCGTATGCGTTTATGGGTAGAGAGAAGGGTGAGAGGGAACAAGGAAGGCTGAGGGAAAAAACAGTGTACTGTGAGATACGAGATAAGGGGTTTATTGTGAGTCTTCCAGGGTCTGGCTGTAGTACTAGAGACGAGCCCTGACACAGCTACACACTTTTCCTGGAGGAGTGCTGATAAACCCTTGTGTCACACCAAAGCAGGGGGGTCCATGGTAGAGATGGATCAGGGAAGGTCCCTGAGAAACATTTAGAGTGCTCTTAAAAAAAAATCTGTAGGATTATTAATCATATCTGTCTGCCTTTAAAGCTAGACTCAATTCACTACTGTGGCCTGGAGTTTATCCTTTTAATTCTGTGCTTGGAGTGGGAGCTCACATGCCGACCACTGTGTCCCTGGGCAGAACCGGTGGCAGCAGCTGCTCAGCATGCTCCGGGGCTGGCACACCACCGACCATGTGGTGGGACGTGTTTTGGGAGGGAGGATCACCTCAGCTCAGCTCTACTCAAAGTCCGATTGAGCAGCCTTAGGAATAGCATCTGTTACGAAGACCTCATTCATTTTCTTCTTTTTTCTTTTTCTTTTTTTTCCTTAAATTTTATGACTGTGCTACACTTTGACAGCTTGGGATGAGTTTTTCCAAGCTGGATATCTGCCCTAAGCCATATTATTTTAATTGTTTTGTTTGAGAAAATGAAGGCCAGAAAATTTCAGGCATTTCTGGGAATAAAGCAGGGGAAGAAAATATTTATTTTCTGATCTTGATAAATGTGTTGACTTCGTTTGAGTAGCTATAATTCCTCTGTATTTTGATGGAGAACTGAAATTTGCCAGGGGATGGTTGGTGGTAGGAATGAGAGATTAAATTTCTGATGAGAAAGTGCTTTTTGATGTGCTCTTCCTACATTTGTCTGAGTGAAAAGATGCATGTTTGTCTTTGCTCAGTGGATACTTCCCGGAGCTCCTGCAAGTGCAGCCACGAGGAGCATCTCCTTGTCGAGGCAGAAGAAACCTTCCCATGTGGTTGCACCAGGGCCTCTATGGACCAGACCAGGGAACATAGGGATGCATGTGCTTTCCGTGACATCACTGGTGACTGAGTGGCGTAGGGAGTCGCTGATCTGTGTAAGGGAGGCACCATGCTGACCAGTGCACACCAGGAGGAACAGACTGTGCAGGAGGGAGCCATACACTCTTCTCCTCCATCTCAAAGCAGTGGGTGGTGTGCATCCTCGTGTCGGGTATGTTGTCTCCTGTACGTCAACTGGAGTGTCCACCCATGCGTCGTTGGCTGCTACAGCATTGGGGGTCTCTGGTTCACTCCTCACAGATACCTGACTTCGGAGTTGTAGTACTCAGAATATCCGAAATTGGCAGCATGAAGTTGGAAATTACACTCCTGCCATTAAACCCAGGCAGCAGCGGTCGCTAACAGCAGGGGTCTTCTTTTCACGTGCGCCCTGTTTGGATCTGTTTCTGACCTGCGTAAGTGTTTAGTGACTTTATCTGCAGCTGGATGTTCGAGGGTGAGGTAACTCTGGTATACACCCCTGGAGAGAGATTTTAGATGAAGTAGGCACTTTGCCTCATGAAATTGCAATGTCTGCAGCTGGCGGGTTTTTCTTACATAAAGGGTGGTCACGTGGCGTGGGGGCTGGCAGTCACATTTATCCTTATTAAAGAAGGGACAAAAAGCCAGCGTTTCCTGCGGTCCCACAGCAACACCAAATGGGCGGGGAGGGAGGGGGTGTGTGCAAAAAAGTGAATTCCTACTCTTTTTAACCTTTTTGTTCCTCTTAAGCTGTGCTGGTTTGAGGAGGGTTTGGGTAAGGAACAAGGAGAAAGAAAATACCTGCAAAATCCAAGTCTGTGCTAATAGCTCAAAACAAGCAGTCAAACCTGGTTTTCGAAAAGGAGGCAGAAACAACGCGTTCCTACAAAATTGGGTAAAGTTGTCAGTTGCCACCTGTAACAGTTAATGTCAGGTCTGTTGGAGGAACATGAGTGCTGTGTCTTTGATTTTGAGTTAGCTGAGGGGTAGAAAAAAGGTGAAACATATGGTCTTGTCCAGAAGAAAAAGAATAGCGAAACTTTTTAATTTCCCGCCCCCCCCCAGTTAGGAGGGACCAAAGTACTCCTGAGCCGGTTTAGCTCTCTGCCTCTCAGTAAAACCTAATACAAACCATTTGCTTCAAGTTAACGTCTGCGAAGCCCCTGTTACTCCAGAGCAGGCAGCACATTGACCGCAGGGCAGGCAGACCACAGGGCTGGTCCCTTTTTCCTTAAATCCGACTTGCTGTCGTTATAGAGGCGATGTTGAATTTTCAGGAGCTGGTTAAAACTTGCGGCAGCAGTCCCCGAGATCCTCAGCCCTCTCGGTGAGATCCGGTGCTGTCACCGCCTCAGCCGAGGTACGTGGCTGTGGCGAGGGGGACTGCAGCTAGGGAGTTACCGCAGGTTGTTGGACCTTGCCCAGCGCGAGCGGGTCCTCAGTGCACCAGGACGGATGGTCCCCAGAGTCCCTGGCAAGAAGCTGGAGAAACCAACAGCCTCGTGTCCTCACCTGCTGCCTTCTACTCCAAGGTGGGCGTTATTGTACCAAATGATGGGCCTCCTAAGGTGAGAGGAGTGAGAGCATCCCTGCCAGCAGATAAGCATTTTAATTAATCTTGAATCCACTGAATTTAAATGGAGCCTGTGACAGGTTTAGTGAGACACCTTACTTTCAGGCAGCTAAAGATGAAAGACGTGACCCTCTTCAGCATGTTCACAGCCCAATCCTGAATTTGTTCAGGTCACATTCCCCAAAGAAAAAAACAGTCTTACCCTCTGCCATCAATATAGTCTGGCATCTTCTTTGTCCTGAGTGCTGTGTGAATGAAAAAGAAGAGATTTCCCCAAGCAGATGGAGTCCAACACAAGCAACGGCAGGCTAAATTTACAGACAGCAGCCCTGAGGAGAAGGACGTGGGGGTACTGGTGGATGAAAAATTGGACATCAGCCGGCAGTGTGTGCTCGCCGCCCAGAAAGCCAGCCATATCCTGGGGCGCATCAAAACCAGTGTGAACAGCAGGTCGAGGCAGGTGATCCTCCCCCTCTACATCTCGCTCTGGTGAGACACCACCTGGAGTACTGTGTCCAGCTCTGGGGTCCCCAGTACAAGAAAAACATGGAGTTTTTGGAGCGAGTCCAGAGGAGAGCCACAAAGATGATCAGAGGGCTGGAGCACCTCTCCTATGAGGACAGGCTGAGAGAGTTGGGGTTGTTCAGCCTGGAGAAGAGAAGGCTCCGGGAGACTACTGTGGCCTTTCAATATATAAAAGCGGCTTATGAGAAAGACAGAGACTTTTTCCAAGGCCTACAGTGAAAGGATGAGGGTATTTTAAACTTATTTACAGTTATTTTAAACTGAACGAGGGTAGGTTTATGTTGGACATAAGGAAGAAATTTCCTGTGATGAGGGTGGTGAGGCACTGGAACAGGTTGTCCAGAGAAGTTGTGGATGCCCCATCATTGGAAATGTTGAAATTCAGGTTGGATGGGGCTCTGAGCAACCTGGTCTTGTGAAAGATGTCCCTGCCCATGGCAGAGGCGTTGGAACTAGATGATATTTGATGGTCCTTTCCAATGCAAACTATTCCATGCTTCTAAAAGAAGTTAGCGTAATAACCAGCAGCTGGACTGACCTGGCTGTTGTAAAGTTTTCATAGGTATTATATGCAGGAGAGTGTAAGGAAGTACACTCCTCAGGGGCTGATGGGAAGGTACCTCTTTGAGAGTTAGATATCAAATGAGCTATGGTGGTCATAGGTCAAGACAACTACAGTCATCAGCAGTTTGATCACATACAAGAAGTTATGACTGAGCCATAATAAATTATACAGGCCTTGGAAGTCCGGACAAGTAAGCAGAGCAGTAAGTGACATATATATGAGGTGATATCGTCAAAGGCATAGGCCTGGGAAATGATTTCTGCAGGAGGTTTCTGAATGGAGATGAATGGTGAACAAGTCCATGTGATAGGGGTAGAGATGACAGCTAAGGCTGCATTTCAGCTGTACAGATGGCTGCGAAAGTCTGTATCCTGTTAGCCAGAGAGAATCGATATGGCTTATGCATGGCATGACAAATATAGGATCTGGAATGGGAAAATGCCGCCAGAAACATGGTAACAGGGCCACCGTAAATGAGATGGAGGGGACTACGCATTTCTTTTTCTCCGTATCGGTACATCCGTTGTCATAGATATCTGACTTTACTGGATGTAGCAAAGCTCAGCATTTGTCAGCTATCAATTGGAATGAATTATCCCAGGTTTGGAGTATGCACCAAAGCCTTGATGTCTCGCTGCCTGTAAGTGACAGTTCCTAATGCCTGCTGTAGGGTTAGGTGAAAAAGTATGCAGAGAAGTATGTGAGCATTGTGACAAGGTCGGGTTTTGTGATTTACTCCGTTTTCTTCCTGTTTAGTATTGCAGAATATTTATGTTTTCTGTCCTCAGAAATGTGACACTTGTACAAGGCTTGTGTCTGTCACAGAGGTAAGGAGCTTGGCGCTCCGTTAGCCTGGTGCACTGTCATCTCTGCAACTTACTCTTGAACAACAGAAAGCAGGCAAACAAGGAATTTCAGACCGTGAGCATGGCCTTCTAAAATAAATGATTGTCATATGTTTGGTTTTAAGGCACCTCTAAAGGACTTACATGAGTAATAAACCTTAAAGACATTTTTATTAGATTTCTACCTTTGGAGCAAAGCAAGGCTTCCATAAAGGTTGTATTTGTTCCTGAAATCAGAAAACTGAATGTCCTTCTTTGCGGTATTTCTTACCTTGGAATTTTTTTTTTCTTGTGTTGTAGCTCTGAATCACTCTTTTAAAGGTGCTCTTTTTTTGCTAACTATAGGATATCAGCGCTTCCTGACCCAAATCCAACATACTGGCCAATTCCACTATAGAATCTTGTCTGCTTAGTGTGCAATATGTGGACATGGGTGTGCAGGACGGCATGCTTCCATCAGGATGGCTTTGTCAGGTTAGCATCCTGACCCAGAGCAAACCAAGCGAGTCGCGAGTGTCAGAGCGCCATCACGCCTTGGTCCATCGCAGGCCTGGCAGAGGTACGCCCAGCCCTTGCACAGGGCACGACCTACCATTGCAGAATAGCCCACAACTTTGGTTTTGATGACCAAATGCACACAAACCGTGCTAGGACAGGTGATGCTGAGAGAAGAGGGAGTGAATTTTGCATGTATTAATTATTCGTGCTTGTTAGAAAACAAAGAGAATGCAGTGAGACTTGTCTTCTTCCAGGCATTTAGGTCCATATGTAGCTTCAGAGATGTGAGCGGTTGCACCAAGTGCTGTTGAGGGACTTCACATCCCTTTTGCAAATGGCAGGAACTCCCTTCACCTCAGTCTCTGCCGGAGGATAGATGAAGCCCTGTGAATAGCTGCCTCTCAGGGTCAAAAATGCTCCTTATTGAATACAAACTTATGAAGACATCTATTTAAAATAAAAATATTTTCAGTGCTGTGTTCTTGACTAAGCATGATCTGAATGTCTTCAGAATCTCAGGGAGTAGCTGCTGGGTCCCATAGCGGTTTTCTCTGACTCACATTATAAAGCCAAGGTGCTGCTGCAAATGAAAAGTCCTTCAAGGTCCCAGGAATTCTTTTTATAGAGTAAAAGAAAACTATCTCCCCTATTATTGAATTGTACATATCTGTCTTCTAAATTGGAAATTCTTGCTTTATTTATTTAAAGTGGAGGGTTTGGAGGAAAAAAAAAAAACCCTCACAAAAAAACCCCAAACAAAACCTTCTCCCCTTATAGTAATGGACATCTTTATTGCATGTCTGCTGCTACTACTGCTGTTAAAGATATTTTCTAGATTGCACAAACCTTCACAATGTTGCCACCAAAACTGGTAGTTAGATTATTCATTCTAACTCTCCTTTCTTTACCGATTATTGCAGTTGCCTTGTTATGTTAAGTTGACCCTTCCATTTTTCTAAATGCAGGTTCAATGTAAAGGGTACATTAAAACTACCTATGACAGAAAGACTTGATAATACTGTGTTAGCAACTGCTTCTTCTATACATGTCGACCTTTTCCATCAACTGAATGAGCATTGACAAACGCGCTCCTTCCAATGCTTAGGATTCACAGTGGAATAAATTGATATAATTGCTTATCTACTTTTCTGCTTTTTTGATATGTGTGTACTTTCAAAGCAGGATGTGGGAAATGTGGTTGGGATCCATAATGAATGGTGACAAGTAACAATCATCATATCTGTCAAACACATAAACACGCTGTCACTACATTGAAGCCCAAGGAAAGATGTTGACCACTTTGCTATATAATAATTTCTGGGAAAGACACGGGCAGAAATTAATGCAGCTGGGAACTCCTTTCTCCACAATCCTTTCCATTCAGTATTTTGCTGATTTGAAAGATTTTTAGTTTAAATACCGTGTACAGTCCCTGAGATCTGGTTACGTCCTGTTCACCCAGCAAGAGCTACTAGTCCTTCTGGAGTGCGGCTTTGACCCAGTATTTGGAGAATTAAATTCGTGCCTGAATTTAGTGGAGAAAGAATGCCATTACTTTTTTGATGGCATTTTAATTAGTTTTGCTCATTATCCCTAGAGGCATCTCGAAGAAATCTGATTCATGAACATATACTCCATATTGCTGCTGGAGTCAAGCTGGGAGCCCTCTCTGTCTTTAGTTACTAGTATTTCCCTGTGAGTAGCCAAAGTGCCATACCTCTTTCCCATACATAGGTATTGGGTACCACAAATATATGTGTATACACATGTATATATACATATACACATTTTATCGGTTGTCTACTGATCTCTGATCTTCACGTTTAAGGTTTAGAAAAGGCAATTTTGGCATCACCTGGTTCCCACAGATCTCCCCAATCCCTCTTACTAAGATGCCCAGTCTGAAACCAAGAGCAGGGCTGGCCTTGGGAAATGCTCACCCTGAGCGCTTTCCCTGGCTGAAAGTTAGGTGCTTGCTGTTCATGTTAGGTTATTCTGCCCATGCTGCCACTGTCTTACTGCGTGATCTTGAACAGGTCATTTATATGCTGCAGCTATAACATCTTTGGGACCTGTTTGCTGGAGTGGTCTGTGGGATGCTGCCCAGTACTGTGGGATAAGGTTTGTAAGGGGAAAGGCAGAGATAACAAAATACCTCTGTATAATTCAGCTCAGAAGTTGAGCGAGCAAGAGAGAGACAGTAGTAAAACAACCTTCATTTGTTCTGCTGTTCACACAACCGTTGTTTCTAACCTAATACATTTTGGCTTTGGGCTATAGCCTGTATCCTACTGCAAGTTATAATGGATGTTCATGATGCTCCCTTCTGGTTTTATCATATGTGAACTGTTTGTCTGACAGTACCGTATTTGTTGATTCTTGGATACATATCAAGATCTATCACTTGTCCCCATTTTTCTTTTTATTTTCTTTTTTTTTTAATGACATCATATGACCTGTTGATTTGGGTTTGGTGTGATTAGGTTTTGATTAGGTAGTTAGCTGCTGCCTGTTATCTCAAAACTGCTGTGAAATGTCTTCAGTGAGGTTTTGAGAAGAGTTTTACTTCTTTTCCTTAATCCATTTTATCCCGTCTTCAGCCATGGACTTTCTGAACAAAGTCCTGTATTCCCCTCAGACCTGTCTGGATATTACAGTAGTGTGTGTTAGGACCTTTAAGAACAACTAAGAGACATGAACAGTAAGTCTCATTTTCTCTTCGTCCGTTATCCAGTTTCTTTTCCACAGTAGTTTCATCAGCTATTGCATATAAGACACAGGTAAATGACTTAATACTGGTCTAAATTTTGTTTGCTACTAGATTGTTCTCTACAGAAATCTTTTCTTTTTTGGGAAATTATTTATCTTAGTGCTCCTTAAAGGTGGTAGATTGTCACAAAAATCAGTTGCAAGCACAATTGTTAACTTACATTTCTGGACATTTAGTATTATCTAAAGGCTTTGCTGAAGCAACCCACTTGGGAGAGGGTGCGTTCGGGTTTGGATCTTGAGATCTTGCATCCCTAGTCAGTTCGGAGTCTCTTTCTCTAGTATAATTGCAATATCCAGACATGGAAAAGGTCATAAAAAATGTTGCAGAAGAGCATGATTGTTATCAGAAAAATGCTCTAAATAATTTGCATCCGGTCGCAGAATGCAAATACACATAAGGCAATTTTCACATTTTGGTCATGGAGTTAAGAAGACCGGAGTAGCATTGCCCATGGTTTCTCCCTAG